ATGCGATTGAAAATGACATGAAGATATCCCAACTAGATGTGTGTACTGCATTTTTAAACGGCGATATAGACGAACAAATTTAAATGAAGATGCCGAAAAATTTGGATAAATACTTAAAAATGATAATAACAAATGGAAAAGATAAAAAATTAATAAGAAAAACAAAAGAAATGCTATTAGAAATAAATAGATATAAAAATAATGGGATATGTAAATTAAACAAAGCTATTTATGGGTTGAAACAAGCAGGACGACAATGGTTCTTGAAGTTACATAATAAATTGATGGAAATCTGATTCAAGAACTCTACAGCAGATCCTTGCTTATATATTTTAGAAAAAGAAGGTGAAAAGCTATTAGCAAACATTTATGTGGATGATTTAATACTGGCATATAAATCAGAAAATTTGTTAAAAGAGGTCAAAATGAAATTACAAAAAGCTTTTCAATTAAGAGATATGGGTTCGCTACATCATTGCCTTGGCATACAATTCACCCATGTAGGAAGAAATGAGGTTGTCACAGACAAGTTATATTGAAAACTTAATAGAAAAATTTAACATGGGCGAATGTAAGCCGGTTTCAACGCCGATGGAAACAGGTTTAAAATTGAATAAAATTAAAGAGCACAAAAGAAGAAGAAATGGAGAACATACCATACCAGACATTGATTGGTTCTTTAATGTATCTGGCTATAGCTACGAGACCAGATATTATGTATACAGTAAGTTATTTGAGCCAATATAATACTTGTTTTGGAAAAACGCATTGGCAAGCAGCAAAAAGGGTTTTGCGTTATTTAAAAGGCACGAAGAATGTTAGCATCAGATATAGTAAAACAGGAAGTGCATTAGTAAGAATGGCTGATGCTGATTGGGCAGCATGTACCATTGACTGTCGTTCATATACGGGTTACATCTTCAAGTATGGAGGTGGTCTAATAAGTTATGCTACAAAGAAGCAACGAGTTGTAGCTTTGTCAACTGCTGAGGCAGAATATATGGCAATGACTGAAGCTTCAAAGGAAGCGCTACACTTAAAACAGCTTTTGGAAGATATTGGAGTGACTGCACAAGCTGTACCAATCTACAACGATAATTTAGCTACACAGAAGTTAGCCAACAATTTAATGACTAGAAAAAGATCAAAGCATATAAGCATAAGGGAACACTTTATAAGAGACTGTGTCCAAAAGAAACTAATAACAATCCATTATAAGGACACAGACAATATGGAGGCAGATCTTTTAACAAAGGCCTTAACCCAGCCAAGGTTAATAAAACTGCTGAAGATGATAAGGGTCACTCAGACTTGAGGTGACACCCCAAGATCTTCGTGAGGGGGAGTGTCATAGAGAATACTGTCTTGCAATAAAATTTAATTATAAGTATATAATTTTGACAGATGTCGGTAAAAAATAAATGTGTCAGGTTGTGTTAATAAATTGTAAATTGAAATAAATAAAACTATGCTTATTTAAAAGGGATTTAAAAGAGATTTAATTAAAGATAACTCCACTGCGATAAAACTACTCTCTATAAAAATAATGTTAAAGAACAAATGAATATCGGGTGTATATTCCATAAATATATAATAAATATGTCGGAGACGGTCATCAATACGGTCGCTAAACGAAGCGCGGCCCTGAGTGATGGCAGCACCTATAACGCCCACTGTATAATTCATGATAAAATAATGGAAAATAATAGAGAAAATTAATGAAAGAACTATGAGTGTGACGTGCAATGTTTGAACTATGTGATCTCTCATCGAGGCTTGCAAATGCCTCAGATGAAGAAGAACGTCAAGTTACGCGAGTTTGACCCTGACAATATGGATACGGACGCAAGATCTTGATTTGCGACTGTAGATTTGTGCTTTGCCGAATACCGGTCGACGTGGCTATTACAATTTGTATACCAGAGAATAACATAGGAAGAGTTCAAGGTGATTTTCAAGGCGAGATTTATTTCCACCGAGACATTGGCTGGTACGCTAATTAATTTTAACAGTGACAAAAAAGAAACTCGTTACGTACGCAAATCGCCTGATGACATCACAGACTAATCGTTGGAAAGACGCTAGCAAGAATCAGATAGCAATTGCGACTGTCCTTGCTCACTTATGTCAGTTTAATTCGAAATTACAACGATTGGCTTTACTACGAAAATTGCTTCGCGAGATCGATTCTCACATTTGAAACGCAAAGCTAGTTTATCTGACGATTTTTCAAAAGTGCCTGATGCTAAACGAGCCAAGCTAATGTAAAATGTTATAAGTGCAGAAAAGTGAGTCATAAGCGGTCAGAGTGTAGAAGCAAGGTAAATGACAGCGTGGAACGACCTTCGATGACAGCAACGGCATTGCAGCCTGCAGTGAAGTCTCTGGTCTGCTTCAAATGTGGCAAGCCTGGTCACATCACGCTCCGGTGCATAAGTAGTGCCAGTCAAGTTGCAATTTCTAGTATTGATCAAAACAGAATATTCCGCACAGAGTAAAATTTGTTTTGTAACGATTAACGGTCATTCTCTTTTGAAATATTATGTTTTGCCTAATTATTAGTTACAAAATGGTATCATGATAGAACATGATATTAACATGACGGCTATAAAACCGATGTAAGCATTCTGACGGCCGTAGTAGTGTCGACCGTACTAGTAACTATTACGTAGTCATGTATTTTCGTTGATTATTTGGTTGCAGGCTAACACACAGCTAACACACGAGGGCGTGTGCACGCAGGATGGCCGTGTCGGAGACGGTCATCAATACGGTCGCTAAACGAAGCGCGGCACGACGCCTGAGTGATGGCAGCACCTTCGGTATTATCGCCAACACTCGGCGAGCTTCGTGCTACGACGGAGCCTAGCTAAGGGAGGGGTGCTAAGAGGGCTGGACACTTGCCTTCGAGCCGAGCCAAGCTTAGGACCGCTCCACTAGGAACTGTCTTGCGTTCCGTATTGTCTATACATGGTAATAATGAAGTGGTATATGGCTGTGTAGTGAAGTGCTGTTTAACTATGTACAAAGTGATTATTGTTAATTTGAAATACAACTGTGATTGCATCGAATTTCATTTGAACCAACACTTCCCATATAACGCCCACTGTATAATTCATGATAAAATATAAATATTATTTTGTAAGGATTAAAAAAATATTAAGCTAATTTAATTAAATAAAGTGATTTTGTTGATTCTGTTATTGAACTATTTTAATTGGCAATTGATTGTCTCGGGTATTTTATAAAAATGTGACACTGTCCTAATATTGCTCAGTTCTTAATAAACATTTGTGAAATTAGGAAAAAGAAAAAGTGATTGCAAACTGTGAAAAAGTGAGTGTTGGATCGTGAAAGTAAAATAATTAGTGCAAGTGGTGAGGTGTTTTATTACAAATCGCCAACAACTTGTAATTATTAGAGATGAGTAGAATCGAGTAGAATATTTATTGTCAAAAATGTGCATCCTTATATACAAAAATTATAAAAAAATTACAAAATTATTGACCAATAAAAATGTGTTCATTAAAATAATTACAATTAGAAAATTATACTAACCAATAAAAATCTTAGTTTTATTTAAAACATGATTGGTCGTAACATTAGAATGAGATAAAAATAGCGCGAATCTTCTGCTCTCATGGATCCTGGGAATTCGCGCGGTCGCGTGATTTCGCGCGGGCCGCTGAAGTTATAAATATAACTAGGCAGTCGATGCGCGCGGGCATTTTCCCCGCAGCGCTCGCAACGGACGGATCTGCAGTCTGGCTACGCTTAGTACTCCACACGTAAAACAGTTCTTTTCAGAACTACTTCTTGTTTCATACAGACAATGAAATAGCTCTTTTGAGAGCTGATTATTCATGTTTCCTACGACACCAACAGCTCTTTTCAGAGCTAACTTTTCTGTGTTTCACGAGACGTCTAGTGTAGCTACATCTGCATATGTATAATATTTTCGCTTTTTGAACTGGACTGAATAATTCTTTTACGCATTAGTAACCTCTAATGCTATACAATGAGACGTCTAAAATCTCTTTTCTGTCCCCACGTTCGCTGTAAAGCAGTCGAAATTTTTGGAACCAAAAATAAAAACAAATCCAGTTGAAAATCCGAAGAGACAATTTTATTTAAAACCTGTAGGTAATGCTTTTAAAGTTAATTAAAAGTTAGTGTAATTTTCGGTGTATCAGTCATTTTAGTACGCTTAATGTTCTTTTTCAATATTCGATATAATATAACATACATTTTAATACCTAATTCGAATCTTGCTTGAAAATAAATTGCAACTCTTATACTATATTTCATAGTCTGATATAAAATATTTCTTATACTATGGTTGGAAAATGATTAATTCCCTTATTTTATGGAGGGTGATAGTAAGAAGGAACGTCTTGTATGGAGGATTAGTTAAAAAAGTGTTCACTTCTTAACAGCAAATTATTGTTCGAACACTCACCGAAATAGCGCTAGTGTAGGAAATGGAAATGGGTTGAAAAATTTAATATAATTTACAAATAATAATAATTTAATTAACAAATAATTGGGGTATTTAAAAATACTGTATAATTTTATTCCATATTCATGTTTGTATATTATAATAATTTAAAAAAATGCCCTCTAACAAAGCGGAAATTTTTCCTTTCTTTTTTAATTTAGTGTCCTACTCTAATAATTTGTGGCGCTCCTTTTAAAATTCTTCCACTTGCTACTATAGCGCAACCTTAATTTGCTCCCTTTCAACGGACACTTTTTAATACACTGAGATGGTCCTCCTTACTTCTACCCTCCATAATAATTTATTTATGGTATTAATCCCTCTTTATAATCTGTATTCATTTATGATCTAATATCTATGTCATAAAATTCTTCGGAAATAGCATCAATTATTTAATAGAACAATCGAAAAATTATGTAATATCCAGATTCCTTTAATAACTGCTTTTTAAGCGATGTTTTTTCTAGTAACGAAACATTTTTCTGTTGATTCTAAAATTGTAATGACATCGTTACAGCTCTACAAATATCTTTTACGTGAATGTGAAAGATTACCACCCGATGCTTGTAAACATTACAAATTTGCTGTCAAACAGGTACTTGTTTGAATTCAATTTTTAGCCCCGACGCAAAGCATTGAATTGAATGTAACTTCTGTAAATGTCTATGTGGTAAGAGTTACTAAAGTTTATCTATACATTATAAAGTGTTTTTGTTAAAGCTTAAATGTGTGTTAAATGGTGTGTTTCTTAGAATGTGGCAGCCAGTGAAACATACTTTCTCACAATGGTATACCTTCATTTATCTTTCGTTTCGATGTACATTGTGATTATCTTTTTCAGAGTTATAAGCAACACAAAAGTGAATCGGATCCAGAAAGAGTTAAAGAAATTATACACAAAAGTATTGAGGATGCCAAGTGGATTCTGAAAAAGGTAAAGGACTTTTTAAAATAATGCATAGAATATAATATAATGGAATCTTTAATTCATATATTTATTTTATTTCAGTATACTACGAAATGATGGAGAAAGTAATTACATTATATCTTCAGAGAGTATGCAAGAAATATTTTATTTATTATAAGCAAATATTATAATTGTGAATCATGCTTGGTGAAAAAATAGAAGAATATGAAATACTTGAACATCTTGGCAAGGGTGGCTTTGCTCATGTCTATAGAGCACGATGCAATAAAAGTGGACACTATGTTGCTATCAAAATGATAGACAAAGCTTTAATGGCAAGTGCTGGTATGATAGAAAGAGTACGACAAGAGGTCACAATACACTCTAGGTTAAAACATCCTGCTATCTTAGAACTGTACACATTTTTTGAAGATGCACATTATGTTTATTTAGTTTTAGAATTAGCACATAATGGTGAATTAGCTAAACATTTTAAATTAGGTACCCGTGGTCTTAGTGAAAAGGCTGCAGCTGATATATTTAGACAAGTTGTGAGTGGTGTTTTATACCTACATACTCATAATATTATTCATAGAGATCTTTCTCTTAACAATTTATTGCTTACAAAAGATCTTAATGTTAAAATAGCTGACTTTGGCTTAGCAACTCAGTTAAATGGACCTGATGAAAAACATGTAACTATGTGTGGGACACCTAACTATATATCTCCTGAAGTAGCTTCCAGAGAAATGCATGGCTTGCCTGCAGATGTCTGGGGCTTAGGATGTATGCTATATACATTGTTAGTAGGCAGCCCTCCATTTCATACACAACATATAAAAACAACCTTAAATAAAGTAATTAATGCTGATTACAAAATACCATCTGAACTCTCCATTCATGCACAAGATTTATTGCAGAAACTGTTATGCAAGGATCCATCAAGAAGGATAACATTAAAGGGTATTATGGAGCACCGTTTCCTAAATAACTTTTGCAACATACTTCCAAAACAAGACTTATCCAGAGATTCTGGATTTCTTACCACACTTCATAGTACACAACACAGTCAAAAGACTAGAAGTTCTGAAAAAAATACTAATGAGGGCTTGGATTTATTTAGTGAACAAAATAATTTTAATAAGGGTAGTGTTTCAAATAAATTTACGGAACAAAATTCTTATAACTTTTTTGATGCCAGACAGCAAAATTATTTCTCCTCTACAAGCAGTGAACCTTTAAAACTCATAACAGATAATCATAAAAAAGCTCCAGAATATAATATGGTAGTTCCAAAACTTGAAAGTCCATGTCATAGTGCTAACCTTTTAGAAAAGTTAAAAAAGGTTGATATAAAACATGACAAAGTAGAATCAATGAATAGCAACAATAAAGAAAACTTGACAAAGCCATGTATGTTGAATTCTAATACACTTACTGTTCCACCTCTTTGTGCTGATAGATTACCTACAATTTCTCACAGAACACGTAATGCTATATTAAAAATTGAATCATCTGGTGTCATCGTAGAGTTCATCAAGAAAAAAGGTAAAGATAGAGAAGCAAAAGTTGTAGAGATTTGCAAAATATCTAAAGATGGAATGAAAATTAATATATATTCAGTAGACAAAGAAAGGGAAAAGAACCCTAATACAGCACACCATATTAACCCTGACGAAATATTTTCTTATCATAATCTACCACAAAAACACTGGAAAAAGTACCTATATGCTGCTCGATTTGTGGATTTAGTAAAAGCTAAAACACCAAAAATCACTCTTTACACTTCCCTAGCAAAATGTCAACTTATGGAAAATAGTACTGACATTGAAATGTTCTTCTATAATGGTGAAAAAATAATATTTATGCCAACAGATGGTTTAAAAGTAATAGATAAAAATCTAAAAACTCACACTAATACTAAAATTAATCCAGAATTAAAATATTTAATTGATCATTTTGAGGAATGTTCTAGTCGCCTAAATAGAATACAAAATGCACTTTCTTGTATTCCTGATGAATGTTTCCCTTTAATAATTGGTAAAAGGCCACATCCACCAAATAATAATTCACCATCATCACAAGGATTTTCTAATGCAGAACGCAACTTTAACACTCCATTATTTAACTTAGGATCTTTCCACCGAACTACAACTTGCTCTAGTCATACACAAAGTGAGGACAAGTATTAAAACAATATATTCCTTTCATTTCTACCATAGCTAGCTGTAGGCAAAGCTAACTATAGTTAGCTTTAAATTAAAATTAACAACCGATTTCATAATTAAAATTTCATATTTTGCTTTATTCTATATGATATAGATAAAAAAATGTATTATTTCTTGTCAAATATATTATAGTGACTTTGCTAAGTAAGATTATTTAATAGTATTATCTAATTACTTCCTGTTACCAACTTATTTGTGACAAGGATAGAAAATAAAATGTTAAAATATAATATGGGAAGCTTCTTTTAAAATCCTAATAGACTAAAAAATAAAAATAATGATACATTATTTTCATATTTTTAAACTAATAATAAGAAGGCTACCGCTGACTGCCCTTGAATTCCCCGCGAAGGGCGCTAGTGTAGAGTGAGGTGAGAGCAGTGTTGCTAACACTTGAAATTTTATCCCTCTAAAAGTAATTTCAATAATAAATAACTAAACGGGGGTTTTCATTTAGAATTCTATTTTAACTGTAGTATATCTATATTACAGTAAAAATAGAATTAAACTTTGAACTAAATTTCCGATCCATTTTTTTTATTTTATAAGGCTTAGGATCACTTACTGAGTATAAAATCTCAAAATGCTGACAGATTCCGATGGAGCTTTAGGCGCCATCTTGAAAAAACTTTAATCTCGGAAACTATGCCCTTTAGGGCAAAAGTTATTGGAACTATTTTTATAGAAAATAAAATTTTGCATCTTTAGTTTCCTGATTTTATTGTAAAACTTACCGTTTACGATTTATGGCCTATTTAATGAACCGGTTCTTATATCTCGGCCTTAACTCTTAAAATATTAGTTTAAACAATAAAACGCATCTAAATAAAACTATCTTTTCGGATTTTGTCGCGGATTTATTCGCATTTTTGTTTCCCGACGTTTCGAATGCTTTACAGCATCCATGGTCACGGGAGAAAAAAAACATCCAAATTTCAATAGGGAAGATGGCTGGGTACTACCATCGTCATGGGATCCTGTTATTAATATAATAAAATCAAATAATAAATATAAACGTAACAGATATGTAGATGTAGTAAGTTCTTACTGTGTGGATTAAAAAGACAGCTTATCGGATTAATATTTTTCATTTGTAAAAGTATATAGTAATAGTGTTGCTTAGTAAGTTGTTCTTAAATAATAGCAAACTATATTAAAATGATTATCCTTAATTAACTTTTTTAAATTACACATAGAACAATTATATGGCTTAAATAATTAATACTATATTTTATATGTTTCTTTATGGTTATAAATATAATAATGGCAACACTAAATATAGATTACTAATTAATATATTTAAATTGTAATAATTATAAAAATAATAGCAAAAATTAAATAAATAATATTCCACATTCAATTATAATTAAAATTATAAAAATGTTTAAAGTTAAAAAATATTGTAATGTAATTGGTGCAATTTTCATTTTGTTTACTGTGGGTAGGCTATCTGTAACAACTATACCTTCAAGACATGTAACACCTCAGTCTCTCCCGTGACCATGGATGCTGTAAAGCATTCGAAACGTCGGGAAACAAAAATGCAAATAAATCCGCGACAAAATCCGCAAAGATAGTTTTATTTAAAATGTCAAATATTCGCGTAAATCTAAGAAAGTATTAAAATGCATCTATCCATTTTTAAAGATTCATTTATTCTCTACAACTTTAGTTGTCAACTTTTGACAACTTTTTTTCTAATGTCCATATTTTTTGAGCTAAAGGACGTTCAATGTTGGACCACCGGGTATAAGGTTGAAAATTTCAAGGTATGCATAGTCTAATGATAAAAATTTAACAAATTGAAAAAAATACCGAAACAAGTAAATCCTAATCGGTTCAGGCGTCTTCGAGTAATCAGTGAACATACATAAAAAAAAGATTCCGACAAATTGAGAACCTCCTCCTTTTTGGAAGTCAGTTAAGAACCCCTTAAACCCCTAAGTGACATTTTGAAAAATATAGATTTTCTAATATGATTTTTTTTATTTTTAAATATTTATTTTTTATTTTAAATGATTACAAATAGCGTAAAAAACTTATTTATGGTTATTTTTTTAAACTTGCTAGAAAACTTACTTTCTAGAAAAGCACAAACAGATATATCGCATGGGAAGAACCAAAATGGAATGGAAACCAAATGTAAAGTAACCTGTTGTTTGACCGGCAATATATTGTATCAGCATGCCAAATTTTACTGAATTACGTGTATAAGTTGTTGTGTACTAAGCTGTATAAGTTACTATAGTTTTTTAACCATCCCACGGGAACTCTTTAATTTTCCGGGATAAAAAGTACCTAAGATGTTAACCGGGTATATAAGGTACAACCATGGAAAATTTCATTTAAATCAACTCAATAGTTTCGGAGATTACCCCGTACAAACAAGACAAACAGACAGAGAGACAAAGAATTAAAAAAAATTATTTATTCAATTTCTCTTCTTACAGCCCCCTGATTAGGTTTATAACACTTTTAGCATTATTTTCTATGTACAGATATTCGACCTTTGCAGTTTCAATATATAAAATAATAGAAAAAGGGATATAAGTTTTCGAAGTTTTTAACCAAAACTTTATAAGTCCCTAAAAATAGAACCTAAATATTTTTCTCCCCCTAAAAAAATCCCGGTGCAATTTTTTTCCCCGTAAATTTGGGGGGAAGCCCCCTAAGTTGGCTACACTGGGTGAGAGGTCTGTAGACAGTAGAACTATCAAATGACACTAAACGTTATATTTCCGTCTCACGAAAGATGTCCCACGGCAAAAAGTGGAACTAATTATGACAGGTCAGCTATGTTGTCATTTATTTGTCATCCATGGTTGTCATTGCCAGGTGCTGCTACCATAATCAGATGAAAAAAGAAAAAAAAACCTGTTCTCGAAGCGCTTCGTCGTTTTTTGAACCTTCATGACTTTGGTTTGGTTTATACCAGATAAATAAAATTCTCGGAATATGATGTCAATAGTGGACTTATTAAACATATAAAGTTACAATTTCATAGCTCTTATACTTTAGATTTTATTGATATCTAAAAACCTCCGATTTTGTCACTGACTCACTGATGATCATCAAAATTCTTAGGGTACTTCCTGAAGTCCTAGAAAGCTGAAATTTGGTACCTAAGCTAGTATTAATACATAAAAACAAAAAAATCTGAAATTTTGTAACTTTTCCCCCCCAACCCCTTAAACTAGGGGACGGAACTTTGTATGAGGCTTCCGCAAATTTTGATGCTAGGGGTCTGAAAATACATGAAGGGACTCCTTATAAAAAATAATAAAATACAACACTCCTAAAAAGGAAAGAAAAAATTAACAAAATAAAAATATTTGGTCATAAGCAAGTCTCAAAAAGAAGTGAAATCCCACAAAAAACATTTCATGTAAAATGTTGCCAAGAAGAGACCATATGGCGCACACTGTCAAAAAGTTATCAGATCTTATGTAGATCCAAGCTTCTAATTCTAGACGCTCTACCTTCACAAACTCTACACCTTCGTCAAAATATGTGGCTTGGCCGTATCGTTACTACAAAAACTATTGTATTACAGAAAAGTAAAACCAGTGAATAAATTTTACACCTTACGCCCATATAACAAACGGTAGCGCACGCACGGCATGCACTTCTTTTTCTCAATTCTTCCTTCAGCAGGTCTAACTTCCATGTACAATACATTGAACAGGTAAGATGCGAACACAATAGAAGCAAAAAACCATATATAAAAGAAATATCACAATATATATCACATTCAAATTCAGACTGAATATAAATATGCTATACGTGTAGCGCCCTCTTTTCGAGAAATTTTCCCCATTAGATTTTCAGCGAGAATGCATAGACTATATATATTTTTAAAATATTTCGTATGGCAACTTTAATCATACTCCATCTTTTTTGTCACGATGCCTCCTAAGAAGCAACCCGAGAAATCCGGTATGTTTTTTAATTTTTATGGAATATCTATTGAAAATTGATTAAATTAAACCTAAATTCTTTGAAGAAGTCTAGAAAGTTTCTAATAACAACAAAGTGTTTCGAATTGCAGTACAGTTGCAAATGTCTGCATATTATGCTAGCCACGCGGTACATGTCAATATCTCGCCTTGTAATGAAGATAAATTTCCATTACTGGAATCTTGAGTATGATAGCTTATGTTACTAGTGCCTTTTATTTTAAAAAACTATATTGTGGTTTCAATTTTAATAACCCTGTTAAAAGTTCCTATGTTTATACAAAAAAATAAATATTATTTGTTTGTTAGGTTAGAACTTGCAGAGGACACAGTTATGTATTTTTCTGACATTAGTTCTGTAACAATGTATTAAATGATTTTATAATAATTTATTTCATTATTTATCGGTAGGTTAAAAATTGGGTTATTAATCAAAATCAATTTTTAGGGTCTTCTGCGGCTAAGCCCGCAGAAAAAAAACCTGCAACTGCTAAAACACCAGTAGCAGCTCCTAAAGCTGCATCTACAAGTGCTGCACCAAAACCAGCTTCTGCTAAAACACCTGCACCTGCCCCCAAGGCTGCTGCACCAAAGTCTGCACCAGCCCCCAAACCAGCACCAGCCAAAGCTGCTTCTGCTCCTGCTGCGCCTGCTAAGCCTGCTGAGAAAAAACCCGCAGCAGCTGCACCTTCTGCTAAACCTGGATCTGCAAAAGCGGCTGCTCTTAAGGCTAAATCCAGTGCTAAGCCTTCAGCCAAAAAGGCAGCATCTGCTACAAAGCCTGCGAAAGCGAATCCAGCAAAGACTAAATTGAAAATTGCACCTAAACCCAAGAAAACTGGTATTAAGGGACAAAAGAAAGTTGTGAAACCAGTTGTCAAGGCCCTTAAAATCCAGAAAAAGGTATGATACATTATAACTAATAAATTTTCACAAATATTTTAATTTACATTATAATACATTTTTTATGTATAGGTTGTCAAAGGTGAACATGGAAAGCGAGTACGTAAAATCCGCACCTCAGTGCACTTCCACAGACCTAAGACTTTTGAGCCTCCAAGGAATCCTAAGTACCCTAGAAAATCCCTGCCTAAGAGAAATCGGTAAGTGCTGGTTCTTTTAAACTTAATAAGGCACAAGTTTATTATTAGGGACGCGGCCCCTGGCGGAGTGGGTGGTATTTCTGGATAGGGGACGTGATAGGGAGTCCAAATATATAAAAATTATTTTAAGGAAACAAAAGAGTCAAAAGTTATTGAGACTTAAATTTACAACATTTCCATACATTTTCATACATTTCTTTACCACCATTCGGAGTGGGTGGTATTTTTAGATAGGGGAGGTGACAGTACGTACGAGTAAAAAGTTATTGAGACTTAGTCATAACATATCTAACACATTTCCATACATTTCTTTACCTAAATAAGTGATAGTTTTTAGAATTTTTGTCTATCTGTCTGTTACTGCATCACAGAAAAACCACTGGAGGGATTTTGATGAAATTTGATATGGTGATAACTGGTTATCCGGGTCAACATATAGGATACTTTTTACCATGAGAAAATATCTCATTTTTGAGGAATGTACGAGTAGACTGTAATGTAAGAGTATACTAATATGTAAAACCTAAGAATTTGGTTTTTGGTATCTGAACACGGGCAATGCTAGTCTAATATATGTATTTTATCATGTTTTTTTTTTTTTAAGTTTTGAAGAGAACTATATTAAGTATACATAGTAAATATACATTACAAAATATGTATATTAGTCTTAAATTTCTGTTATTGTTAATTAAATTAACAACACTATTTCTTTTTGTATTCACATTAGTGCTTGCTACTAACAGGTCAAAAGAGATTAAAAGATTTATTTAACGGTGAAATATATGAGTTTTTTAGTGTTTATGCTGTGTGTTTATTAAATTATTCTTTACACAAGTTGTAAGGTGTAACACCATCTTATACAGTAATTGTATTAGAGTTGTACTCAGTCCCTTTTTTAACATTTCTTTACTACAATGGGGCTTTGGTCATAGTTCACCACGCTGGCCAAGTTCAGGTTAGCAAACTTCACATCGCTCGAAAACTTGCCAGATTCTCTCAGACATGCAGGTTTCCTCTCGATATTTTCCTGCACCGTAAGACTGGTGATCATGTTAGAAATAATTAGCACATGAATATATCAGAGATGCGAGACCCGAGATTTGAACCCACTTCACTCAGTTTCCCAAGCAAGCGAGCACATTACCACTGGGCTACCACTGTTAAATTAGAGTTGTACCACTCTGAAATCAGGCTAGTTAAACTTCCACAAAGGGGAGAAAGGTTTCATTTATTTATGCTCTATTGCTATTGTTACAATATTGACAATATAGTCTTACATCTCCATAGTTATATTTTCAGTGTGCTTTAAAATGGCACACTTTGGGGTATTGTGACATATTTAGTTACAAACAATTACTATAAATATCATCTATCTTCTAAAATAATGCTTTAAATGAAGCAATAAAAGGGATTTTTGTAAATGATTTGCTTTATTTTAGTATGGATGCATACAACATCATCAAGTTTCCCTTGACATCTGAAGCTGCGATGAAGAAGATTGAGGACAACAATACACTGGTATTCATTGTTCACACAAGTTCTAACAAACACCACATCAAAGCTGCTGTCAAGAAGTTGTACGATATCAATGTTGCGAAAGTGAACACACTTATTAGGTAAGACAAAACATATTTTTACATCAATTTATATAATTTTAATTTTATTTATACTAAAGTGATGATATGTTATGTGGGAATCTCTTTGAATTATAATGAAATAACATATATACATATTTCTGATTTTACAAACTGTCTAGAAGTTATTATTAAAAATATTGAAATTATTTTAGTATGAAAATGGTATTGTTTCAGGCCCGACGGCAAGAAGAAGGCATATGTACGGCTCGCACGAGACTATGATGCGTTAGATGTTGCCAACAAGATTGGAATCATATAAAAACAATATGTACAATATTTTGTAAGAATAAAAAAATATATAATAATACTTGCTTTTCTTTTGCCCCTCCATCCCACTGAATATTCAACAATAATTTTATGAAATAACCATCAAATAATGATTTATTGAAGTGTTACTGTATACTTCTATTCTTCAGAATATAAAAGGTAATTACGATTGGTTTTTCTTTATAGTGATATAATTTTAGTACTTATCATCGATCAAAAAAGTACTAGATACACAGTCATCCATTAAAAATGTCCTTACTAAATGAGCGCTCATTTGAGCACGCTTTTAAATATTTTTTTTGTGAAAACAACTAAGCATTGCATTTAAGGTTCAATTTACATTGTATATTTATTTCAACTAGGACAATTGCCTAAACACAATTGGTGACAGTTTTAGGGAACTTTTGCATGGGATTGTGTGTCTAGTACGTTTTTGATCGAACGAAAATTCATGTACAATTTACTTAATTTTAAAGATTTTGTTGTTAAGGTGATATATCTAATTGATCATATCTAACATGTATTTGTACATAACAAGTATTATGCAGAAAACTTATGTTTAGTGTGTAATAAAATAAATAAGTACATAATTAGTGTTTTTTGTTTTTTTTTCCAGATTAGTAATATGGCAAGGTAGAAAATTGATGCCGGATTGGTGATGTGAAATTGGTATTTAAATAACAAATCATATGGTGTCATCAAAATGGTTCCTCCTTCCTTTTACTTGGTAAGATATAAAAATGTACCTTTTAAATAAAAAAAAATATAAGTTTTTACAAGAAAAGTTTTTTTATTATGATGATATGTATTATGTGGGAATCTCTTTGATTAACGATGAAATAAATTTAACACATTTCTGATTTTGTTTCTCATTCTACACTATTGAGACTAATTAGGCAACATTATAACAAATTTCTTTTTTGTTTCAGATTTGATTCCAAAGAAAGATAAAGATTTATGAATATCTTCAAAAGCTAGACCCATACTTGTTATATCTGCTTGATCATGCCTAACATCCATACTAATATTATAAATGTGAAAGTGTGTTTGTTTGTTTGTTTGTCTGTTTGTCCTCTCACGTCGGAACACAGTGCTTGATTGACGTGATTTTTTTGTATGGAGATAGTTGGAGGGCTGGAGAGTGACATAGGCTTCTTTTTACCGCGGAAGTTTATCTCATTCCAATGAGAAAACGCGTTATAAATAGTCCAACCCAAAAAAATATTTGTGATCAGAATTACTTGAAACTTGTTATTAATTTTCTTCAATACAGTTAAATAAATACATGTTTTAGCATTTTTGGAAATTCATCCCATAGGGAGGTAATGTAACGCATGAAAGTTTGTATGAATCCTACCTTTTCAGAGAGAATCGCTATTTCACAGCTCCTAAAATAGTAGTCATTTGGTACTCAAGAAAGAGGTTACCTGGGAAGTTTTCCGGAAGTTTTGAAAATTAGTGATTTTAGAAAAAAAATTGTTATTACATAAATTGTAGAAAATTTTGTCTATTAATTTTCGATATAAATGATTTTATCGTAAAAGAGTGGGAATAGAGATATTGTCAAAAACCTGTAACTAGGCGCCATTTTTCCAATATGGCGACGCGAGCGGCAAAGATACGAGGTGGCAAAATTTAAATTCGGAAAGAGCACATCGAAATTGATAAAATCACAAATTTTCAAAACTCCCGGAAAATTTTCCAGATAAAACTACCAAATGACTGGGCTAAAAAGTATGTCAAATATTAGTGGTGTTTACTAGGTAGTAGGTACCCATATGTGTGTGGTGTGTGAGCAAGTGGTTGGAATAATAATGTCTAAAATATACACCTAAATTATAATTTATAAGAATAAATACAGAAAATATAATATACAGAAGGTAGCATTATTGCGAAAATAGTAACAACGTAACAAAAAGTTAACACATTATAATATTATCAAATAATAAGTAGGTATCAAAATAATTACAAGTATAAAATATACATGTTTTTCATTTCGCTGGTAATTAATAAACTTAAATCAAGATTATAATCGGCATTTTCTTGTTTACTTTTTCGCGATTCCAAGACCAGTGCCGGATTCAACATCGTGCATAAAATTGATAAAGTTTTTATGGTCTCAGATATAAAAAAAATAGGTGTATTTAACGACTTTTAAAAAAAATCTCTTAACAATTAAATTAAATGTATGTTTTAAAATACCTCAAATACAAAGATTTTTGGTTTCTTATATTGAGCGATCTATTAAAACTTAGTATATTACCGATGTGTTATAAATAAAGTGATCTTAAATAAAATTACATATAAGAAACCCTATAAATAAAAAATTAAATGTGGCACTCGGAGACTGCCGCGGTAAAGCTATTGCATAGCATTTTTTATCAACTTATGCAATTATAATTATTTATTTATTTTATTAGTATTTCACGCCATCTAGATTCATGGTAAGCTACGAGGCCTGTGTTATGGATACCAGATAGTTGATACACTACACATATATAACTTTAAATACATATTATAAATATAAACACCCATGACTGGAGTACAAACATTCGACAACACACAAATGAATGCCCCCAGCGGGACTCGAACCCGCGACGGCTGGCACAAAAAATAGGGTCACTAAAAACTGAGCCAAGCGTGTCATCAAACGTGACTTAAAACATAAATATCAAACTACTATTTTGTTTTGTTGCGCCATCTAGTGACCATATTCTTATAGCTGTGAATAAAAGTAGCGTAACACAGCTAGTTCGTAGTTTTTATACAAGATGGCTATAACTAGCTCATAAAAATAAACTTTCTCACAAACAGCTGATTACGGTCGTTTTCCAATACAACCAATGCCACCTAAAGGCGGGTTGCTGAACTAAAGAGACAAGTGTGATATTTCAAAAAGTCATTAAAAGTTCTGGTATTTATCGATAGATGGAAGTATCACCGCTGTGCCGGTCGGAGTGGGGAGTGTCAGGTTTTTTTCGTTACGGAATTTCTGGATTTGGTCCCCACGCTCAAGGCCCGCGATAGAAGCTATGCAATAGCTTAAAATGATCCTGTCAAAGAACGTTATGTTTTGTTTCTCAGTGACAAACAATAGGAAACAAAGTATACCTACATTTCTTAGATAAGTCATCAAGTTAATATTTTAATATAATAAGTATAAAAACATTAACAAAAAATGCACAGAGACACCTTCAAAGAAATATTCTATATTTTTTCTGATATAATTATTTGACATTGAAGTTTACGTTGAAATATATCCTTAGAAGTATAGAAATGTTTAATTAAACCTCCCGTGCTGCTATGAAAGACTGACAAAATTATTGCAAAATGTAGGTATATTTATTATTTAGTTAATAGGTACTTAGTTTTATGGGTTTAGGCGGCCAGTTTGCCACAATTTATAGTTCTTCAATGTCGCGTAGAATGGAGAAAACACGATTGAGGATTTACTGATAAAATAAGATATTGTACACAAAATTTTTTGTATCAGGATAAAAACCCAAACAAGACATAACCGATAAGACATACGTTTTGGCCCCAAAACTCAGTATTCCCATCAGTTTTAATTTAGAACAAAAATAATTTATATAGTGATTTGATACATGTTTGTCATAATTATTAATTTTATTAACAATATTAACCCGTTGTCATTTTTTTTTCAAAAACATAGAAACAAGTTATTATCAACTTCAATAGTGCTGACTTGTGAGCTAAATAGGTATTGGTACCTAATTTTAAAATATTTCTTTAAACTTCAATCTAAAAAAAACTGAAAAAGGCTTTGAAGTTTTTCTGAGCATGAATGCTTCTTGGGTTATAGGTCATTGATTGCTAATACAGAAATTTGAAAATAAAAAAAAAATTCAATTCACCCTAATGTCTATCTAACCAAAACTAAAAAGCTGTAAAAAAAATAATTTACAAAGATAAAATAAACCCGACTGCGTAAAAAGCGAACTGAAAAGATGAGGACTAGTTGACGAAGTTGCATAGTATTATATATTATGCAGTCGCCAGTCGGAAACACCGAGGCATGTTAATATTTTATGATTTCCGAGATAAAAACTGCCCTATGTCCTTCGCAGGGTCCCAAACTATACTTACCAAATTTCATCTAAATCGGTTAAGTAGTTATGGAGCTCATTCGGTGTACAAACAAACGAACAAAAAAAACTTCTTTCTATAATATTGTAAACTGTTTTAATCACCAGCGTTTATCCTAATCCACGTAATTTATGTTACATAACCCAGACATTAAAGTAGATTACACAATCTAATCCAAACCTAATATTTTAGAAGTCATTAGTTATTGCTGACTTGGAATTATGCGTAACCATATTAAATTATTCCATATATACTTACCTGCTAACATTTTAAAATCATAAAACTTCAGGTTTTAATTTGTTTGTTCCCAAACCGGATTCCGATTGGACTATAAATATTTATTTTTATAAGTAGCTAGCGGCTGACCCTCGCTTCGTTCGGGTTCGCCTCTAGAAAAGCACAAACAGAACTATTCCACGGGAACCGTTCATTTTTCCGGGATAAAAAGTAACCTATCCTTTGACCGGCAATATAAGTTGCACCATAAGTTGTTGTGTACTAAGCTGTATAAAGTTACTATAGCTTTTAACTAGCCCACGGGAACTCTTTAATTTTCTGGGATGAAAAGTATCTATTATATTGACCGGGGATATAAGGTGGTACCTTATACCTTACCTTACCTTGCAAAATTTCATTTAAATCGTTTCAACAGTTTCGGAGATTAGCCCGTACACAAAGACAAACAGAAACAAAAACATTAAAAAAATCTGGATTTGTTCTATTTTCTCTTCTTACATCCCCCTGACTCGGTTTTTAGCATTTTTTGTGTATGTACAGACATTCGACCTTTACAGTTTTATTATATATAGGTTGATTTCCCATACCAATTTTTACTACCCATTTTCACTCCCTTATGGGATGATTTCCAGGATAATAAGTATCTTTTGTCCTTCCCAAGGTCTCAAACTATCTTCTTATCCATCTAAATCGTTTCAGTAGATCCGGAGATTACCCCCTACAACGTCACAAACTCACAAACTTTACCTCTTTATAATACAGTATAGGTTATTTTACATTTTATTGAAGTTAAACTTCTTTGAATCATTGTGATTTGAAACTCGATGAAAAGGAAATCAAGCAGAAATGTGACATTAAAAAGAGACAAACACAAATGTATAGGATTGAGCCGGCGAGAGAATGAGATAGAATACATTGTCATGCTGCCATGGCAACCATCGTTATTGTCTGACAAATATATTCTTTCATTATATGATATTCTATAAGTACATGACTGTAATATGCCTAATATGCCTTAATTATTTGAGATAGAATACATTACACAGGAAGTGAAAAATAATAGAACTAATTACCGAATAATATGTAATGTATATTTATGTCAAATAAAATGTAAATTACCTTTAAACTTGGTAAAAATATTATAAAAAGATAAACCTTATAATTATCCTACTCCTGATACTCTATAATCATTTCATTCTTTCGAAGGTTACTTTTCTGGAGTTCATTTCTACCATGGGTGAAATGTACACACACGCACTTTTTTACATATAAAAGCTGTTTAGTCCTTATCCAATCTAGTATACTTATCCTATTAAATGTAGATTACCCAATCTAATCCAAACGAATATTTTAAAAGACATTAATACCGATTTAAAATTATCTATGTTTGTGCAATACGATATTAAATTATTTTTTACGCAGACATTTACTAGAACATATCATAACTTCTTTTATAGATCCCAGATAATTATTACGCTTTAATGCCTTAAGATTAATGTGCTTAGATAAATTACAATGTAACTAAATGAGATGATTGGCAAAAACTCGTGCAATATATGAGTATAAGACCACTAGTATTTTTTTTAAATCACGGCTTTTACGGTAATAATTCTGCAACATATTAAACCTATACAAAATCTCAAAATTTGTCAAAGGCAGATTTTTTTTAATGTGATAGAGGTGGAGACTCAGGAACTTTTTCAGGCTCTCTCTTTGCGCTTCAACCGATTCAATCATGAGACACTGAGCAAAATATAACACTCGTCTAACATTCGATTCTTAAATGTGACTTTGTGAATATGTATTCAGCCCTTTTTAATGTCCCACTGCTGGGCACGGGCCTCCCTTTAATACGTGGGGGGATCAGGCCATAGTCCACCACGCTGGCCAAGTGCGGGTTGGCGGACTTCACATGTCTGTGAAAACTTGCTAGGTTCTCTCAGACATGCAGGTTTCCTCACGATGTTTTCCTTCACCGTAAGGCAAGCGGTAATTATGTTAGAAATGATTCGCACATGAAAATATCAGAGGTGCGAGACTCGGGATTTGAACCCGCTTCACTCGGTGTCCCAAGCGAGCGTGTCACCACTGGGCTACCACTGCCTTGTGCCACGTGAATATGACGGTTGACTTTTGTGATGTCAAGCGACAGTCGGGGATTCGCATACGAATATAAATTAAATGTTATATATATTATGAGTATTTAGAAGAAGCAATAAATACGAGTGTTAACTGATATATGTAGGTATATTATTTTCCTGGACAATCCTTCTGAGCTGTTTTACTCGTAAATCGTATTATATTATTGTATACCTACGTATAATGTAATTATTAATTACTAGCGGCTCGGAAATTCACAAACAGATCTATCTAACGGGAACCGTTCATTTTTCCGGAATGAAAAGTAACCTGTGCCCCTAGTACGAGTTTTTGACAGTTCTCGATTACGAAATATAGTTTCGTTTTCTTCCATACATCTACGTGCAGCGCCCCTAGCGGAAACGTGGTGGAACTAAATCGGCAGTACGAGTTCAATCGAATCATAGTTAACGAACTCGATGAAAGTTTTCGAGCGTATTATTGCATTTTGGCAGTACGAGTTCCCACTTTGACAAGTTACCGATAGTAAACTTTGACGAATTCGAAAACTTTTTTCGTTTTGGCACTTACCAAGTAAATCTCGGTGAGAGCTTGCGACCATCTTTGTTTTTGCGAATATTTTTGAACATTAATTATGTTAGCGAGACGGTATCTTGCGTGGAGATTAGCTGTGGAGGCTGACCATGATGAGGAGCGACAGGAGCTCGTAAAGAGGCGAAAATTAAATGTGCCCAGCCGTATCTCTGACACTCACTTTGTGCAGCGGTATCGGCTAACCAAGGAGGGATTTATGTTTCTCTGTGAGACCTTAAGGGAAAATACAAACCTTAGGGGTTCACAAAGAATATCATTGGAGACTAAGGTAGGTACTTAGATATTTTATTTCACATCCGTATTCGCGCATTTGGATAAGGTTTATCGTATGTACTTATAATATTCTGTAGGTACCTAATATAACCGCTATTTATCCAAGTATTCGGGTGCTTTATCTAAGTAGGTACTTCTTTAATAAAAATATTTTATATTTTTAGGTACTAAGTGCGCTGTTATTTTACGCCAATGGGGACTACCAGAGAGTGGTTGGGATTGCCAACTCTTTATCACAAGAGGCAATTAGCCGTTACATTCAACAAGTAACAATGGCTTTAAACCACCCAAGTATTTTGAACAAGTTCATTAAATTCCCGAATACACCAGCAGCTAGAGAACTTATAAAACAAAAGTTAGTACTTTATAATCTTTTATCCTTATAATCATCTATACATAGTATTACCAAAGATAATAAGGTTACAGCCCACAGCATAATCCTCATTAATTAAATTATAATTTGTATCTGCATGAGAATGGTTAAACATTTATTTCCATTTAAGTACATTTCTATTTATGTGTAATGTTCTAATGAATATATATTTTATATCTTCTAGTTTCTACAACAAATATGGTATTCCCGGAGTGATAGGGTGTATAGATGGCTGCCACTTTAAGATTGTGAAACCCAACAAAAACGAAGAACATCTCTTTTACTGTAGAAAACATTACCATTCTTTGAATGTTCAAATGGTATAACTAATTATTTTCTAGAATTACTACCTACATTATGTGTTGAGTATAAGTACATTTAAATGAGTTGTTTTTCACATTACAATACATTTCTGCTGTATAAAGTAAAATAGTTTTTGTTTTAATAATAAGTAATGAATATTTATTCTAGGTTGCAGATGAAAAATGTCACATTTTGGCAATCAACCCTAAATTTGGGGGTGCTAGCCATGATGCCTTTGTGTGGGAGAACAGCCAGCTCAACACATACATACAAACATTGCATCGAAATGGTGAATCTGTGTGGCTTCTAGGTAAGAAAACTTAATTTTTGAATAGCTATACTTTTATTGTTGAAATATGAATTATAATTTAATCCATTATACTAATGAAATAATTACCAACAGGTGACTCTGGATACCCACAAAGACCGTGGCTTATGACACCATATAATAACCCTGCACCCGGTAGTGCAGGAGAAACATTCAATAAGTTACACAGCAGGGCGCGTGTAACTATTGAAAATACATTTGGGCGCTTGAAAAATAGATGGAGATGTTTGTGTAAGGATAGGGTGCTCCACTACAAGCCGGAAAAATGTGCCCAAATTATTTTAGCATGCAGTGTGTTGCACAACATAGCACTGGATTTAGGAGTGCCAGATCCTCAGGAACAAACAATAGGTAATCTATGATAAAATTAAAAAAAAAATACAATAGGTATATAAGAATTTAATTATTCAAAATGGGACATACACATATTTTGTTTTCCTTGTATTAAATTTATGATTGACTGTAATTTACAAAAAATAAATTATAAATAGGGTTCTTTTATTTTACAGTTAATAATCAAGATTTCCTTGAAAATGATGAGGTAGAGGATGATGTTACCCTGTTGACACTAGGGCGCTTATTGCGTGATCGCATTGCCAGTAGGGTGCATGCTGAAGCTGTTTGACAATAACCATGCAACATTTTCAGTGACTCTGTTAAGACACGTCTGGCACTTTATTGCGTGGCAAATTTACCATCGCCCACATCGTGTGGTCCGTGCCTAATTAGACGGTCATCGATGTGAAGTGATTTGGATAATCTGTGAGTTCAATAGACAATATAGTGAAGTGACAGAACGTTAGCTATATAAGGCAGTGATTTTATATTAAAATCCCTTATTCTTATTCTGATTCGTACTCTTATACCCATTGTTCTTGTCGTCATACTCAGTATTTTGTGGCTAATCAAATACAGTAATCCAAAAGACGATATCTTTTATTTCACAATCTCTTCAAATACAATAGTTCGTTTCAACAAAAATGAGACGAACAGACTCAATTGCCTTCCTAACCTTTCATTTAAATTCTACATTTTATAAATTATAATTCAAAAAAACTTGTAGGGGTCTATTTGAATAGAGTATACTTTGATTTGATTTAGATTAATATATTTTTTATTATAAAGCTTGCAGTAGTGTTGCTTAATATTTAACTTTAAAATAATCAAAGTTCAATTTGTTTTTAACTTTAAATGATCTTAAAACTTATGAACTTTAAAAGATAAACTTTGATCAAAATAACACTTAATTAAATTATAAAAACACTTAATTAAATTATAAATTTATATTTTGAATTTCTGTATTATCACACAATATACTGTAACAGGCAGATTTTCAATGTGTCATGATTATTGTTTTTAATTTGTAAAATTATTGACAATCAGCGATTCAAATGTAACATAATAATTATAAAATTGTACAAGCATTTGAGACAGAAATAAATGAAATTGTTAATTATCTAATACTGTTTACTTGATATCTTGTTTTAATACATATTGTAATAATAGCACATAATATTATTATATGTATAACAAATATTATAAAAAATTAATAATTATTATAATAATATTGCCATATTTATAATGTTATTTTTGGTAATACATATAATGTATTTTTAAATGCAAATTTAAATGTTTAGAATTAAAATATACAACTTCATAAGGTACTTTGGTATCATTTGGAATTTTTGTACAAGTATGTATATAAACCTCAGAGATGAATGTCAAATATTCGCATAAGTAAACCTAAGAAAGTATTAACTTTTAGTTTTAAATATTAATTAATGACTAATAAAATAAATGTTTGTGACCTGTTTTAATTCTATTTTCATTTAATTTAGCCTCTTTAATTTTATTTAGTGTTTAGCTTTAATTTGTATTCTTAAAGGTAACAACCAAATATATAATTATATTTAATCCCTTAAATATTATACATATATAGCAAATAAAATAAATAGTAAATAACGCAGGTTATCCTATTTACTATTTATTTTATTTGCTATAATTTCCCCTAAATTAATTAATTTGGCAAACAGAGTTTGCCACTGAGACTGCTGCTGGAGCTCCACCTCTCGTTGTTGCAGCTCTCTTTCTCGCAGCCTTACATGCTCAGTGACAAACTGTGTTGCCAAATTCCGCCAGTGCTCGTCGCTGTTTAAAAATTGCTCGGTGGCATTAAAGTGCCTCCGAGGAACACGACGACTATGAGGGGGCGCTGGTGCCGGCGAACGTAGCAAGCGGCGGCGCCCACTGATCGCGCGTCGCGGTGCGGTGTGCCGTTGAGGGCTGATAGCGTGGTGTGTTGTGGGGGAGATGGCACTATTATCCACCATATCAGTGTGGAACGTGCTTACTGATTGACCACCTTCCCCAGGCTTGTTCCACTCTTCAATAACTGAAAAAAATACATGTACATACTTGGGAATAAATTACTAAAACAGATTAATGAATTATTAAAATCTAGAATCATATATTTATGTTACTAACATCCATCATTTGCTCTACTATGTTAAAACACTGTTTTGAATTTGAAAAAAAAATAGTAAAAGAAACTAACTGCTCTCAACTTGGACAACTTGCTCCATTGGTGTGGGTGACACTGCTACTGGCAGAAGGCCCAAATTTGATGCTACGGGTGGCTCAGGTGGTCCAACCTGAAAGATGAAACAGATATAATTAAAAACATATATTTTGAAAATAAGGTATAAAGACAACACAATGTAAATGGTCCTAGTGGGTAATTATATATATAGGAATCCTAGCTAGGGTATTCTTATGTACATGATTAAGTGCATGTGTATATGTTGTGTATGAATGATATAAAATTAATATATTTGACATGATACATTTGTATAGGCTAAGCAAGCAGTGTCAGAAATGTAGCATGCGGAATTTAATTTGTTTCCTACATTATGTTTCCATGGGAAAAATGTGCATAAATTTAAAGCTAAGGTAATCAACTAATATATAAAAAATAATGACTTCTAAACTAACTTCTTGCACTGAAACTAGACCAGTTGCAGCCTGGGGTCCTATGATGCTAAGGACTCGCTGCTCCTGGTCAGTTAAAATTAATTTAGAGACTGGCCCACCACCTGTGCCACCTGCAGCTCGGTGAATTTTAGAAGCCTTCCGCTTAGTGTTATTTTTAAGGTCACTCCACACCTTTACATGCAAAATAAACAAATTAATTATTGCAATTAGTGCATATCAAACAAAAAGTATTAGGTAATGTAACCCAATGTTTTAGGATCATAGTTAAGCAGGATGCACAACTTTCAAACAAAGAAAAAACGAGAAGGAACGCAGCATGCTGCATGCATAGCGAAGTAGTTGTAAGGTGGGTGAAACTTACCTTTTTCCACTTTTCTACCGGCTTGGAAGTCCCCGTCGTGTCCAAGTTGAGCGCATTCGCTAACTCTTGCCACTTGTCAACGGCCCTTAGCCTGCCGCTAGGGCCATCGCTTGGCTTATTTAAGTCACCATTCCTAAAAATTTTTTGTATGTAATCAAAACAAATTCTCAAACGCATTGGTAGACATAAAATAAAGAAAACTATAAATATTATATATAAGATTGATACATACCTCTCCATAAAATCTATCATCACTTCAAACTGCGAAGCACTGGTTCTCATCATTATTTTAATATTATTATAATTTTAGCGAACGCGCTAACGAACTAAGTTTTAAAATTTACTTAATCCAAAACGTCAATTTATACAATATTGAAGGAGAACTTTTGTCTCTTTTAGTTTGCCGGTGTGTAAAAGAGATGAAGCAAATAAAGTGAACTTCGTTCAATCGAGCTAGTCGATGGTCGAAATCGTGTAAACTATATTCGAAAACTTTAACTCGTACTACCGATTACATCGAAAACCATATAGTTCATCGAGCTCACGAAAACTATCATCGTTTGTGTCATTTGTAAACTCGTACTAGGGGCACTGTTGTTTGACCGGCAATATAAAGTATCAGCATGCCAAATTTCACTAAATTAGGTGCTTAAGTTGTTGTGTATTAAGCTGTATAAGTTACTATAAAGCTGTAAAAGTTGTTATATTTTTTTAAATATCCCACGGGAACTCCGGGATGAAAAGTATCTAAGATGTTGCCCGGGAATATAAGGTACAACCATGCAAAAATTCATTTAAATCGGTCCAACAGATTCGGAGATTAGCCCGTACAAACAGAAAAACAGACAAACAGCTCGCTCGGGTTCGTCCATACCTACGAATATGTTGTATTATCTCTTTAACCATTTGTCCAAATTATATGCAGTAAAAGGGAAAAGTCTTTTGTTTTAAACATTTTAGACGATAAATTTACTTATTTCGATAAGAATTCATAATTTTTGATAATATGACCAATAAACGTGACCTACCGATTTAAATTATTTTTTTTTATATAAAAAGCTACTTTTTGTGCCTTAAATACAAAAGTTAGACATATGCTGTCGTTGACTTTTTTGTAGGCATTATTAAGCTCTACAACTTTTCTCTAGAACATAATCATATATCTCTCATCGTTAAGACAGCGTTCGTAAGAAACGTTTTCGTTCGACCGTTTTTTCTCCGACTGACTTTGCAAATCCGACTACCACGAAAAAGCCTTTTCATTCTTCGATTAATATATAGCCTATGACACTCAGAAAGAACGTGGCTTTCTATTGGTAAAATAATTTTGAAAATCGGTTCAGTAGATCCAGAGATTACCCCCTACAACGTCACAAACTCACAAACTTTAGCTCTTTATAATATTAGTATAGATGTATGTACATTAAATTTTAAGGACCTCGTCCTAAAGTAAATTAAAATTATGGTATGTAAATAAATGTACCTACCTATTTAGTCCATTGAAATGTTACATTTTTTGGGCTTAGCGTGTATTAGTATTTGTCAGAGGACGCAATTTTATTTTTTAGATATCAAGCAGTGTTAGGTTCAATCCAAGTTTGTGGGGTTGCAACCTTTGTCCCACGGCCGCCATCTTGGAAAAAAGGGTACAAATGGTTTTTATGGTTTATCTGACAAACTATATTTTTCGTTGCAAATAAAATTCTCTACAACTTTGGTCATGTAATTTTTAATCGTAGAAGCAAAAATAACAAAGTTATAAGCGAAAATCGATGAAATTTTGAGAAAAAAAAATCTAGTTGTCGTTATAACTTCTTTTCTAATCATTTTACAAAAAAAAATATATCAGACCATTTCTATAGAGGCGTTTTTAAGGAATAATCTTCATAATAAACTTTTTACATTTTATTCATCAATTAAGGTTTTACAGAGCTGCCAAACGTACATACTATTCTTCAGTATCCATAACTATTAACTACATATACATAAATATTAATGATTTGCCATAATTTTCGATCATCTTTTCATTATTTTTATGATAATTTTTTTAATTATTGATAATGGAATATTGATTGACTCTTCCCCACCACCTACGAGGTAGAGTCTGGAGGTGCATTTTTTTAAGTCTTTGTAACTGAACAGTGCGGATCATAAAATTTTACCCAAGATTTGTTGTCCATTTCAAAAACAAACCTGATCTTATGGAGGCATAATTGTACTGGAACTCATTAAAATCTATTACGGCAAACCAGAATGCTGCAATTCAGTCAGAGATTTCAAGACGTGTCTGATTTCTAATTGCAAACAGGCGAAACGTTGGGTGCTTCCTACTACTATTGTTATGTACTTATACATTATTCTAAGTCGTTACACTCTTGACGGAGTGGTCGTGGTCGTCACTTGTACATACCTACATAATATGTATGTCTCAAACATAAATATTATGACGGACGTACTATACCTGGCGGAGATTACAGTCAAGGACTCTGTGTGAATGTGACCTTGACAAAGGCTATTTAGTATTTACCCATCATCCTTTTCAGCTGTCTCCTTCACCTTTATAAAGTTCTTCTTTCTAAAATCCATGGTCCTATAGTCCTATTAATGTTAATTATTGTTAACTAGCGGCTCACCCTCGCTTCGCTCGCGTTCGCCTCTAAACAAACAAAAACAAATCTATTCCACGGGGACCGTACATTTTTTCGGGATAAAAAGTAGCCTATTTGTTATTCTGATGTATGAACTACATTATTGTAAAGTTTTATTAAAATCCAATCGGTAGTTCTTATGTACTAAGCTGTATTAGTTACTTATAAGATCCTGCAGCGTCCCATCAAGGTAGGGAGGTTCCTTTAAGCTGTAGTAGAGCCCCTTAGCCCCCTTCTGGATCCGTTACTGCCGTTACTGCTGCATTAAGCGTTTGTTTTGCAACTGACTCGACCTTTTTCATTGCAATCGTTTATTACTATTACGTGTATTTGTATAAAGAAAGTCAATGAGACGTAATGAAACTTATAAAACCACTAACCTTAGCCTTCTTCTCCCTGCCCATTTCCCAATCACTTGGGGTCGGCGCAGTACATCTTTTGTACTGCTGATAGGATTTGGCAAAAGTTTTACGACCGGCCGCCTGCCTAACGTCAACCCTCCTTGGGAATACTATTGTCTCTCTTTGTCTGAATGATGTCGCGGAAGTCTTGTAATATGCACTTTAGATTTTTTTGTCTTTTAAAACATTTTTTATACTATTTCTTAAATTTTTAATGTTATTTTCGGATATATTTTAAAATAAATTTTGATTAAAATACACAATAAATTTTGTTTTGAGTAATCACTAACCTTAGCCTAATTATAATTATTTAAAGTCAAAGAAAAGTCTTAATATGCAGGGTGGAATAAATGAATGGGACATGAAAGCAAAGTATCTTAAATTTTTGAAGTTATCAAATTTTACTCATTCTCAAAGGAAACATTTCTTTATTTAAAAAGATAATGTTACGCGCCGCTAGTTTATTCGAAGACATCAAGTACGCCTTCATACAACCTCTGTGGTGTTCGTCTTCCCAGGTGCCAGGCAGGCAGGAAAAGTATGACAACAAAGGCATGGATTGACGTTTGGGCGGGACGTATGATTTTCTGTTGTGTATATAAATTTTATTAATTACTGTCAATATAACGATTATATCAGGAAATGTGTTTCATTGTTTTACAATAATAATAACTGCATTTTTTTTTAAATTAAATTATTTAGTTTCAAGTAATTCTGACCATACGTATTTTTCGGGTTATATTATAAGGTGTTTTTCCATGGGAATGAGATAATCTTCCGCGGTAAATATGTAGTAGAATATGTAGGTATGTCACTCTCCAGCTCTTTAACTATCTCCACATAAAAAATATCGCCAATCCGTCACTCTGTTTCTACGTGAAAGAAGGACAAACAAACACACTTTTACATTTATAATATTAAGTATGGATATGTATATATATAATAGTAGCGATTCTCCCTGAAAAAATCCTGATAAATACAATTTTAAAAACACGTTTGGCGTCATTTGATATCCTCTAAATTTAAAAATATCTTCTTATATAATTAAAAATAAATTTTGGTAAGCACATAACTCATGAATGGCTGAAGCTGGACCAATTCGTCAATTTTTTTTCGTAGAAGGTTTTAATAAAGAGAAAAAAAATAAGGTAAATATATATATATATAAAACAAAGTCGTGTTTGTTACACTATTTATAACTCGAGAGCGGCTGGACCAATTTTCATATTATAAATATTTTTTTGGATTGTATTATAACGTGTTTTCCCATGGGAATTAGATAATATTCTGCGGTAAAAAGTAGCCTAAATGTCACTCTCCAGCCCTCCAACTATCTCCACACAAAAAATAACGCCACTCCGTTTCGACGTGAAAAAAGGACAAACAAACAAACACAATTTCACATTTATAATATTAGTATGGACTAACAGAACTCGCGGCTTCGCTCGCGTTAAAACTACAATAAAAACTGTAAAAAGTGGGTTTCATAAAAACTTTCACCCCTATTTATGCTCTTTTGGGTTGAATTTTAGAAAACGCTGAAATACGTAACTCCAAGGAATAAAAAGTTTCATACAAACTTTTATTCCCTATTTCATCCCCTTGGGGGTTGAATTTTGAAAAATCCTTCATTACTGGATGCCTTCGTCAAAATTTCAATTTTCTAGCCTTAAGAGTTTGGCCTGTGCGTTGATACATCAGTCAATCACTTTTGCCTTTTATATATACAGATTAGTTATAATTAATTGATATAATAATTAATATATATAAGTACACATATCGGTCAATATTTTTCATAGTTTACGTTTACGAGGAAAAACGTAGGTAAGTACAGTTCTCGAGGCGTAAGCTCAGCATTGCATTTGTGTGAGTGATAGGCAAAAGTAAGGTTAAGCAAAAAATCACATAAAAATAAAATCAATATTTTTTCAGAAGGAAATGCTGACATTTTAATTATTAAAAAAAAGCAGTCATCAGGATGGTTTTCGTGTAGTCAATTTAGTTACAGTAGGATCCATTTCACTAATGATAATAATAATAATAATAACCCCCCCACGGGAATTGACCTTGTCGCGGTAGGGGGGCTTACGGGAAGGAGAAACTACAAAACAATATTAGAAAGTCATTACATCCAGATTAAATCTACATAGCTAGACGCTTTTATAATGCCAAGAACATCCAGGCACACCCTTCCCAAACTAACAATTCCCAACCCTTTTTTTTTAATGGAGTTAAT